TTTTTATTTTTCCCTCAAGCACTGAGCTGTACATCCAGAGGCCTGTTTCTCAGCAGAGCACAGGCAGTGCCTCGGCTGATGTTATCTTACAGCCTAACCGCATTGCAGGTACTGGAGTTCCTATATGAATGCCTTTGTCACACTGTGCAAAGGTCAGACCAAAGATTCTTTCTTCTTGGCTTCAGGTGCCTCAAAGGATGAAATACATTGAAAAAGCTTGTATGAGAACAGTGTTGGACACTAGCTAACAGTAGATGCTATAAGATAAATATTTGGAGGTATACTCCTTGTGTTCTGTTGCAGTTCTGTGACTCTCAGAATCACAAGTGGTAGTATAGCATGCTCTCAAGTTTTCTGCGTCATTGCCTGTTTAATATGACGAGTCATATTAAATGACTTATGAGTAAGCTTTTTCTCAAAGACTATCAGCAGTAATCCAATGGAACAAATCTGTGGGCTAAGAGAAGTGGGAACTGGTAGAAACTGTTCCTCCATTTGATGTTAGAAGCTTAAATTCCTGTCTAAATGAAGCTGCTTAAATGCTCTTCTATGTCTTTTTGGAAGCGGATGATTCACTTTCCCTTGTCTCCCTTGCAGTATCTTGGAGAGTTGACTCTAATTGATGCTGATCCTTACTTGAAATACTTGCCATCAGTAATTGCTGCTGCAGCATTTCATCTAGCAAGCTATACGATCACTGGACAAACTTGGGTATGTAACACTAACACTTGAGCTTTCACATACCTTTATGCATGCTTAGTGTAATTGAAGGAAGTTTTGAGTGCTGGGGCCTACACTGTTGAGTTTTGGGCTGCTGGAGCTGGCAGCCCTTCCATACGAGTAACCTGTTAATGAAGGACTGTGGTATTTAAAAGATAGGGATGTACCTTTTTTGGGAAGGCAGGAGGCATCTATGATTGCACTGTGTTCTGTTCATCCTCCTCAAAGCTGTAAACAGCTTCCTTGGGATGAGGGAGCAGGCAGAAAGCCTAAGTAATGGAGGCAAGGAATACTTGTGCCCTGCAAAGAATACAGTAGTTCTCAGGATTCCTGTAGACCCACAGGAACGCTTCAAATCTTGGCAGTGATTATTGAGCTGCTTTGTTCTTGAGATAATAACACTGCCAGTATACTGGGACAACACTGTTTCAACAGGAAAGCTTGAAAACCTCCACCACAGTGACATGAACATATTTCAGTGTTCCTCCTTTTTCCTCAGCCTGAATCTCTGTGCAAGGTGACGGGCTACACCCTTGAACACATTAAGCCTTGCCTCATGGACCTTCACAAGACCTACCTCAAAGCAGCACAGCACACACAACAGTCCATAAGGGAAAAGTACAAGAGCACAAAGTAAGTATCTGCAGAGACGTGTGGTTAGCCAGTCTGCTCTGCCTGAGCTTAACTGGGGCTGGGTGGGTTAACTTGGGGAGTCTAAAGTCACACCAAAGTGGTGTAAGTGAAATGGTTGAAGAGACCCTCATGGTCTTGCACAGTGCTTTGTTGAGCAATGTTTCATGTTCACCAGGCCTAGTGCCACTACTCAAACCGTTGCCTGAACTGGGTAGGTAGAAACTAGAAGACTTGACTTGGAAATTCCTACCATTGCTAGGCAGGAGAGCGTATGTAATGCTTCAAAAAATCCATGCTGGTGTGGTGGCTGACATGCTCCAAAATGTTTCCAGCTGGCTGTGCCTTGTAAGCAATGTGCTTTACTGCAGTATCCATGTTATCTTTTACAGCAGAGAGCACTTCAGCAAGATTCCATCTTGCATCTCTTTGTGTTTTTTTTTTCCCTTCTCTAGGTACCATGCAGTATCGCTTATTGACCCACCAGAGACACTAGATTTGTAATAATCAAGAGACTTATCTTTTAAATACGTAGATGTATATTACAAGAAAATGATGTACAGTTTTTAAACGTGGTTCAAAGTTCTAGGTATGATTACTCAGAATATTAATGCAGGTTTTGATGAGCTTAATTCTGAAGTTTGTTTTATGTGGTTTTAATGTAAATCTTTTGTACATGCAGTCTTCTTAAAATATGTAGCTATGTTTTTATAAGAATGTTCTCTTGAAGCACAGAAGTAACCATGAAGACCAAGTCAAGTCTGAGACTTACCTAATTATAGGCTTAACAGTAATACTAGCGGTGCATTATTATTACAGGACTTTTTCTCCTTCCAAGTAAGAGAGACTTGAACTCCACAGAGGTATTTGTAGCATTTTTATACTCCCTAATCTAAGCTGAGACTTATTATTACTAAACAGCTACAGTACTGGAAGAAACTGTATTGCTATGAGGAGAACACCTTGCTGAAATTGACTTTTGTGAGGCTCTCTGGTATGTGCCGGTTACTGGAAGCCCTGATTTGTCTTTAATGGATTACCTGCTCTTCATCATTAGAGGTTCAGTACTCTGCTGCAGGAACTGCACAGCTGAAACTAGTGAACTACATATAGAAAGTGGTCTTACTATAGTTATTTTCTAGTTAAAGTGTAAAACTGATACTAATTTTGAACCTGTGGAGTTCCCACTAATCCTTTAGCTTTCCCAATAGCCCATCAATGTAGTAAATAAACCTGCAGCCTGCTGACCTCTTTAGGGGTGATGGAACGATTATACTGCAGGAGAGTGAATTCCTGCTCTATGCCCGGGAGAGGAGGCAATGTCTTCTAGGGTGTGTGGGCTGTGTGCAGAATGGTACTAATTCTGTACATCCCTCTCAACTGGGAAGGATTCGTTCTGAGGCACGCAGCAAAAATGTAAACCAAGTGATCTTACTTTTCCTTAGTTACTGGAACGGCTACATGAACAATCTAGCGTGTGTCATTGGATAGAAATGAACATCTACCTTCAACCTGTATAAATGGAGTGATGCTCCTTGTACCTAATGTTCTTTGTGTATGTAAAGAAGTGAGCGCAAGGAGGTGTTGGATTTAACTGAGCCATTTCTAGGTTGGCAAATAAACAAGTTTTATACCTGCTCTTAGCAGTCTTGCCCAATACCTTTAAGTCACTACCTCCTACTAATACCATCTTAAATCAGCATTGTTTTTTGATTCTTTTTGGCAAGGGCTGCCCCTTGCCAAACGTGCCCCTTAAACTTCAAGTTGATTCAACACTGGTTATCTGCACACCTAGCAGTATAAATTCTATGTGTGTGTGAAGCAGTGGGTGTGGGCTATTTAAAAAAAGAAAAAGGAGATAAAATCAGCAGCCATCTATCAAGCTACCATCTATGCATTACTGTGAGACCATTCACAACACATCTAGATTCAGTTACTGAACTCTTGCTGTTCTGTCCCACCCTACTCTGTGGTTCAAGCCCTACATGAACCAATTCAGTTACTAAACTGCTCTAGCCAAGTGACTCATCCAGTCAAGGCAAAAATATGCAACAGAGGCTGCTCTTTAGCTAAATGTAAGCTTTTAGGATGTACTTTAACTCTTCCACATATTCTAAAGTTTAACAAGGAGCCATATTCTGCTGGTCGACCATGTTCTTCAGTAGTCTTCAGTTAGTTTAATTTCAATATCTTGCCACTGGAAAAGCTAAAATCAGTTGGGGAAGACCGCAGTATATCATGTCTACTGCTTAGTATTAGAAATGCTCTACCTTTGCAGGACAGGGAATATGTATATACAGGAACATGTGTACCACAGTTGTGATATGAGCTTGTGACCTTGGAAGGTCAAATCAAAAAGCTGCATTGGTCAGTATCCCTGGAAGATCACAATGCTCTTTGTGAGAAACAGGCTTCTGCTTTCACCTTCCTGTGGCTTCTACTGGGTAACTTTCAAGACCGCTAAGAAGCATGAACAGTGGAAGAGGAGTTAATTTTAGAGAAGCACATGAATTATTTTCTGCAAAGAATAGGTATCACTGAAGTGAATGGACATCAGTATTACAGTATTAATTTACTGCTTAATGAAATGTCGCCTTTTTGGCGACATTTGAATGGAAGCCATTCTCTTATTGTTCCCATAGCACTGAAAAAATTTCTTCTTTGCTCCCTCAGCTTTGCTTTCAGCAGCCAGTATCTGATACGACTTCCTTTACAGCCTTAATAATGCTTTAGTCACAGGCTGCCATCTCTGCCTAGTATGCCTGTGTTCCTCTATGCTCGCTGACAGATGCAGTAATGTTCTTTTCCCTCTTTTCATTCTCTAAAGCTAACATGGGGGAATATTCTAGCTCTCACTTCCACATTTTGATTAAAAAAAAAAAAATCCCAGGTTGTGCTGTATTACTGTTTTGCCTATCCCCTGTACTTTCTCCCATTCTGAAATAAAGCTTCTTGGAATAGAGGATGTCAGCTGTTAAATAGGAAAAGAAGATAAGTAGTAGTGGTGGCAAAGTATACTACTTGTGTTCTTTAAAAAGCTTAGGGGCTTGTTGGAGAAAAAGAAACAACTGGTGTGCAGAATATGTTGCAGAAGAACAACCAACCTTCACTCGCATCTGTGCTTCGGTAGGGAAGAATTTACACTAAGAAAATGCACTGATTCAGCTCCTGCAGGGACAGGGCTTTCTGTGTTTGTCTCTTCCTACATCTTATTACAGCTTTGGTGGGAAGCAGTATTTTTTTTCTTCCACTATTCATTTCTAAAAGTGATGCTGAGAAGTAACATCTGTGACAGCTACTTCTCTCCTGTTCATGTCATATAAAACTGAAAAAATAGTCCTACGTTACTCTTGTACATACGTGCATGTTTCTAATTTACTTGGTTTTCAAAACAAAGCAGGCAGGTTTGAGACATCCACTGTTTTGCCAGATATTAAATTCAGAGCCTAATTCTTTGAATATAATTCAAGAAAAATTCATGTCTGCGCATGCAATATTTAATTAAACTTTTCAAAAAACTACTGAGGTATGAGCTGCCTCTGTGTGGAAGTTCTACAGCCTCTCTTCTTCTGACCAGAACTATGCATCATGTATGAGTGATTCACGTTGGAATGGTGAGTAGTCTGTGCTGCAGATGGACACTACCACACTTTCACTTACATTAACTTTTTATTTTAAGCTGTATACAATTACATAAAATATACAAAGATGCAGGATGAGAGTTGGGGTGGGAAGAAATAAAATTATCTAGTTCAGTAATAAAAAAAATGTCACATTCTATGGCATTACTGAAGGGGATGGCTTCAACGTGAAGCTCTCTTCTTTCTCCTCTTTTTGTTAAATGCTTTCTTACTTGCATTTTCTTGTTTCAAGTTGGTCTGTGGTCTGAGAGTAAACAACACTGTTTATCAAATGTCTGTACTATGGCGTTCCATCTCAAAAGAACGGGTTTGTCATCTTTAACAGGACAACCACTCACTGTACTCAGTGCAAAGTTCAGTTTCTAGAAAGCATTCTAAATACTAGGAGGGTTACGTGGCTAAAGTAAGGATACAACAGTAAAACTAACTTACTTGAGATAAAACTTAAGATTAGTTATAATGTAGCAGCTCAAATTCACCTTTAAGCTCTGGTTCCTTTTGGAGTGATTAAGACAAGTCAAATATCTGAAGAGCACAGGAGGCTGTGTGCCCCTGTGGTACCACCATGCTCAGGCAGGCCCAGGTCACACAAGTGCTCAGTGTGGTGGGGCTGTGCCCCAGCCAGCAGTGCTGCTATGGAGCTGGGCCAGCGTATTTTTAAGAGAAACACACACTAACTTCTTACCCCATCACTCCTTATTTTATTCAAAGATGACTGCCTGAACTGGAGGTGGCCAGGTTGGATGGGACCCCAGGCAACTTCATGTAGTGAGTGGCAACCCTGCCCCAGGCAGGGGGTTGGAACTAAATGATTTTTAAGGTCCCTTCTGACCTAAGCTTTTCTAGGAGTCTGTGATCCACAATCATCTCAGACAGCAGATCAGCCACAATGACTGGTCACCTAGGAGAGGAGCAAACTAGCACAGCTTTTAACTTCCTCACTCTGCTACATAATCTCCTTGATCAACCAAAACCTTTCTTGGCATGGGTAAAGTTCTGAGCATAGGCCATGAACATCATGTTGTCAAGTATCCCTTACCAACTCCTTCCCCCTCTTAATTTCATATGGTGTTTACCTTGTTTTCTTTGGTTGTTCCTGTGGTTCCAGAATGACAACTTCTTCCTCTTCACTGTCAGACAGTACAATAGGTTCATCTAGAAGAAAAAATAATTAAAAACTGATCCAATATGTACAAACACCTCCTGTGACAATTAACTCCTGTGCTTTTTAAAGTGATACTCAGAAGTGGAAAAACAGGCTTACAACTACCAGTGCTTATTCTGGAGCTCTTCAATATACTACAGAAAACAAGCTTTCTTTTGAAGAAAGCAGATGTACAGGTGAAGTGAAAGTACCAAACAAGTGTAACTTCCAAAAAGAAGGTGACTACAATGGTTCTTTCTTCCCAAGGGCATCTTGCACTTTTTAATAATTTACACTTGAAGTAATATAAATAAATGCACGTGGTATCACGATAAATAAATACCTTTAGCTTCACTCATCATACTTGTATCCTCTGTTTCTGTTCTCTGGCATTCAAAAGCAGTAGCGCTGCTTTCACCTTCCTCTTCTGCTGCTTCTTCCCTCTCAGATTCTTCAAGGTCTCCCCATGCATTCTCTATTCCTTCCCCAATTTGGGCTGTGCCGGGAGTGTGCAATATTGGTTTGGCAAAACTGAAGCAGTTAAGAAAATCTTGGAGTTAGTAATTTCACTGTATAAAGGCAAAATAGTAGGTTTTCAGCTATAACTTTTCTCCCCAGGCCTCCAGTGAAAGTTAAGAAAGAATACTCTTTCTCCAGATAGTGTGACAACTAGTTACTTCAGCCCTGTTTTGCACTTTATGTTAAGAATTAATTTAACTAAAAGCAGTCAGAACTAAAATCAGTGTAAGGTTAATGTTTCCTCTGAAGGCTATGAGGCTACCCTCAGGTAGAACCATCAGATAGCTTGGTTGTTATACTAGCTTCTAGAAGTGCTAATGCAGATAAGAGGGAAGAGTGTTTTGGTTTTTTGTTTTTTCCTCCTGGAATAATAAATAGAAAACATACACTTCTGAAGGAGGGTCAGCTTTAGTTATGATCTCTTCTGCTTGTTCTTCCACATCGTTGGTATCTACAGCAGCACTGTCCATTTTGAAGGCAGTGATCTTTTGATTTGGTATAGATTCTGCAAAGCCAAACTTCCCACCTTCTTTCCTAGTCATTCAACAACAGACAGTATTTCAGGATATTTCACATTTATGAACATTTTTCAGGTATGGAAATACTTGCTATTTTAAATGATTACAAACAGAAATAACTTGCTGTGTTATTACAAACTGGCATTAACTTTTAAATTATTTCTTAAAAATATTTATCTCCATTTCTTCCCAAAAAACTCACCTAACTTTCTGGTCGTTCTCCAAAGCTTTCTGAATTAATTCTGTTATTTCTGCAACCTTAACAGCTGTTATTTTACTGCATCTCAGAACCTGCAAGTTACATATACAATAACAGTTTAGAATCATGAAAACAAGACTTTTAAAATAGAACCATAGAACAGATCATAAGAGTAACAGATACTTAAATATTTTCCTTGACTTTTACCTGATCTTTTAATAGCATAATCCCTCCACTAGACTGGATGGTACAAATTTCACGATGTTTATTCATGGCAATTACAAGGAGGCCATCCATTACACGTTCCTCTCGTTCATTTGGGTCCACCAACAAATAAGTCCTAGAATCAAGTTTTTAGCATAAAATGACAACAGAAGTTTGAGGCTGACCTTGACTCCCCCATTACAATTTTCCGCCTATCTCTGGAAGCTGTTGAAGAACAGCAGAACACATACAAATGTGTTAAGAGATCTGTCTGTCAACATGAGTATTTTCACAGTGTTATTGTCAGTCCTGCGAAATTGTTGTTACATAGGTTGTTTCTGTCAAGAAAGGCTTTAAAAAAATAAAATAAAATCTTACCCCTGCTGGAAGAAGGCAAAACTGACACAAATAGGCATGTGGTGGATGCTCAGGGGCACAGGATCACGCTCCTCAGGAGAGTACTTAGAAAAGAATTGGTCCAGAAGACAGTTACTTACGACATTCTATTTTAAAAGGATGTATTGTACAAGAGAGATTTAAAGAAACAGAAAGAAAACCTAAACATTAATTAAAAAAACCTTTTTTGTTCTTGTATAATACTTTCTGTTTACTACTTATGGAGATAAACAGAATAGTGCCATAAATTCAAACCGAAATAGTCTTACACTCAGCAGGCTTGCTTCACTATCCTTTTACATTTTGAATAGGAACACATTTATCTAACAGCTCTTTAAGCATCTTGAGTTTATCTGATCACATCAGGATATAATTCCTCCCTTTTATAAACCCAACAGCTACCAGCAGTATGAGGCTTAGTGCAACCTGGTATGACTTACCACTGTTACTTCTTTTCCTTGCACAGAAACATCTGGTCTGCGAAAATGGCACAGGGCCACGATTCCTGCTATGCTGGCAGCATCAATAATGTTACCATCATGATTTAACAGGTGCAGATCCACACGAATTTGCCAGACCTGAGGGAAAACACGCATAACTGCTTGGTAATGTGTAACATGATTCCACAGAAGCTATTGCTTTTCCAAGCCACTTCCAGTTTTTGAATACAAAAAGGAGCAGTTTACATTCCTCAAGTATTTGCTTAAGAAGTTAGGATGAAAAACCTTGGTATACTCAAGGTACAAGTCTGCTAGATTTAAAATGCTGGTTAATTTTGACAAAATAAACAACAGTTAAGTACAATTTAAACTTTGTTTTACAAAAAAATACGTTCATGTATGCACATTCCAACTGTTCCAAAAGCACGTGTAGATCGTTAAGTTAAAAATACCCATGAAGCAAGAAAAAAATATTCAAGTCAAAAGTCCAGTATTCAAAACAAGATAGAGCACCTGAAAAAGTGACTTATGTTTAAATTCATGAAATACAGTTACACATTATTAAATTCAAGAAGTGTTTAGATGTTGTACTAAGGGACGTGGCTTAGTGGGCAAATATTGGTGATATGTGGAAGGTTGGACTGGATTATCTTGGAAGTCTTCTCCAACTTTGGTGATTCTATGAAATCATCTGGAACTGGTAGTTTTTTTCCCCTACCTTTTCACCAGCAACAACGCAGAGGGATTCAGTATCTATACATTTGGAATTTCTTAGGCATCGTTCTATAAGTCTGTTCACTTTCACCAATAACTCAGATTGCCTGTTCAAACAAAATTAAACATAATTATGCTGTGCACTTGTGTGTGTCAGAACAGTGGTTCATATGTCATTCTCACCTGGACTTTTTAAGAAAGCTACATACCTGCCAGGTTCAAAGCCAGGGGCAGCCATCGGTGAGAGCTCAAGGTTACAGAAGAGTATACCTTCTGTAGCCCGATTTGGCTTCGGGGGAACAAGTTCACATGAGACTTGCCCAAGAACCCTGCAGAAGAAATAAACAGCTAGGCTACAAAGTTTAGCAGGAAAACACCTTACAGTGAAAACAAGATAGATACAAAAGGAAAACACAAGTGGATGTTTTTCCTACACATTTTTCATTGCTCAACTCAAGTTTCTCACTCAAACACTGTATTTAAATGCTAGTCAAAGATGAAAATAACTACATCTAGAAATCAGAACATTCTTCTAACATCTAGAATTAAAGCAAGCCTCAAAATACTGGAGAACTGGAGTACTGCACCCAGACCTGGGGCCCCAGCATAGAGAGGATGTAGTTGCTGCAGTGGGTCTAGCAGAGGACCACGAAGATGATCATTGTACTGGAGCACCTCTCTTACAAAGACAGGCCGAGGGGAGAAGAGAAGGCTCCACGGAGCCCTCGCTGTAGCCTTCAAATACTTGAGAGAAACATAAACAGGAGAACCAATTGTTTACACGGTCTGATAGCGACAGTCAAGAAGAACAGCTTTAAACTAAAAGTGGGGAAATCGACGTTATTTGTCAGAAGTAAATTCCTCATTCCAAGAGTTGCAAGGCGCCGGTACGGGCTGCCCATTGACAGTAGATGCCCTACCCCCGGAGACCGCAAGGCGCGGACTTCCCGCCAGCCGGCCGCTCCCACCTGGTCTTCCCCAGCTCCACCACGCAGCAGCCGTTCTCGGGCCCGAAGGAGATGCGCACATTGCGGTAGTCGTAGCACTGCCGCCCGTCCAGCCGCTGCGGGGACACACACACACACACACACACACGGGGAGGTCACCGCATCACGCCGGGCCGGATGCGGCCGCAACGAGAGGCCGCGCCGCCCCGCACCTGAGGCGAGAAAGGACCGGGGCAGAGTACAGGGAGGAGAGCCCGGCACCGCACCTTCCTCTCCTGGATGGCGCGCAGCAGGAAGCGCCGCTCGCAGTTCGAAAGCGGCGTCTCCTTCATGGCGGAACGCGACCACACGTACAGCGCGAGCTCGGCCCGTCGCCCGCGCGCTGCGATTGCGTCATCAGCACGCGGCGGCTGAAAGGCGGCAGTGCGCAAGCGCGGGACTTCAACCTCCCGTCTCGAGCCGCCTCGCGGCAGTGTGCGGCCAACGGACCTACCAACGGGCGCCCCCTGGCGGTGGGCGGGCTCGCGGTACTTCGGTGAAGGCGCCCACAAAAGGGCCGATCATCAGGGAAATCAGCCGGAATCAAAAAACCTGCATGTCAGAACCCAGGCAATCAGATTTTTCTCACGCAGAATTGTGGAGACATCTTAATTATGCTAGCTTGTATCTTTTAAAATCTTACTAACACACTTTAGAAATCTTAGTGTGAACAAAAACACGAGGGATGCTTCAGAAACATCAAGTTTTGGTGCGCAGGGACACATGTTGCCAGTTTCTGTGCTGGTTTTAAATTTCCAGAGTAAGATACACGGGTAGCATAAAAACGTTTAGTCAAAAAGAATAGGAGAATCTTGGCACAAGATTGCAAAGGCCATCTTTCTCTGACGACGAATGTGAGTAGTTTTATCAAATGGTACAACATGCGAAGCAATACAAAGGAACAAAGTGATTTAACACTTGCAACTTTCCCTATAGCCAAAAAATATGGTAACATTTTGAGTGTCTCATTGCTGCTATATTTCTGATTATCATAGACCCATTAAGGTTGGAAGAACCTCTGAGATCATTTAGTCCAACCACCAATCCATGCCTGTGACAGCTCTAGACCACACCCCCTCAGTGCCACATCCGTCCTTGAACAACTCCGGGGATGATGACTCCACCACCTCCCTGGGCAGCCTGTGCCAATGCATCACTACTCTTTCTGAGAGAAAATGTTTTCCTAATACCCAACCTGAATCTCCCCCTGTGCAACTTGAGAACATTCCTTCTTGTCATATCACTGTTACCCAGAAGAGGCTCACCACAACCTCCCTAGAGGCAATTGTAGAGAGTGTCTCGCTCCAATTTATAGGAGGGAGATGAGGTTCTTTTAATATCTGTATACCCGGTGTGAGACTAAGAAACAACGGTTCATATGTTGTTCCATCCAATTTATTACTAAGACGGGAAGGGAGACGGGGAAGGGAAGGAGTGCGATAGAAAAGATGGAAAAGAAGCAGGAGTTGCCTAAAGCGGGGATAGTCACCAGCAGCATCCAGCAGTGGTCCCGTTGCACGGTGTTTGAAGGTCCCGGGCAGAACGCAGCAAAAGACGGGGAGCAGCAGCGTGGCCGGCACTGGGCAGCAGGCAGGTAGACGAGGAAGTCGAGGAGCCAATTCTTGAAGCAGCAACAGCGGTCAGGCAGCAGACTCAGGAGAGTTCCACAGTGGCAGGAATCCCCTCAATCTTCAGGAATTCCTCTCTCTCTCTCCCCCCTTCATGAGGAATCTATTGTCAGAAACCTCCGTTCTTCTTGAGGAATCTGTTGTCAGAAAACTCCCGTTCTTCATGAGGAATCTGTTGTCAGAAAACCTATCCTCGTGGTTTTCAGTTCCTCTTTTATCCTCCTTGTTCTCCTGCCTACGTGACAAGGATGGGCCTTGAGCAAGAGTCATTGAGTACCCCCTGAGATGGCCATCATCCGGAGATAGGTCCACACCAAGGAGCACTTCACAGCTATTTAGCTGCAGCTCATCTCGCTCTCGTTGCCCCTGGCCTTGTCCATCTGCATTCCCCCACACAAAGGATTTCACAAGCCTTGCTCGGGACTTGTCTGGACTTGAACAAGTCCATCTGTGTCCCCAGCAAGCTTTGAGACACAGAAGTTAACAGAATAATAACTTACAGAGTAGTATCTTACAGAGAGCCATAAGGTCTCCTGAGCATCCTCCAGATGAACACCCCCAGTTCCGTTAGCTGCTCCTCATAAGACCTGTGCTTCAGATCCCTCACCAGCTCCATTGCCCTTCTTTAGGCATGCTCTAGAGCCCCAGTGTCTTTCTTGTAGTGAGGGCCCTAAGACTGAACACAATACTCAAGGTGCAGCCTCACCAGGACTGAGAGAGAGGGTCAATCACCTCCCTGTTCCCATTGGCTGCACTATTTTGGATACAAACCAGGTTGCTGTTGGTACACCGCTGGCTGTTAACTAACATCCCGAAGTCTTCTTTCTTCCATGCAGCTTTCTAGCATCTCCACCTCCAAGCCTGTAGTGTAACGTAGAGTTGTTGTAACTGAAACTCAGGATGTGGCACTTGGGCTTGTTGGAGCTCATAGCATTGGTCACAGCCCACTGACTCAGCCCATCCAGATCCCTCTGTAGAGCCTTCCTACTGCCAGGCAGATTGACATTGAAATAAACACTTCTCTTCAGTGAGAAATCTTCACTTTTATCGGAGTAGCCCACATTAAAGTCAACCTACCTTGCTATTTCTTTCCACATTTTCAATGAATCATAGAACGGCCTGGGTTGAAAAGGACCACAGTGATCATGAAGTTTCAACCCCCCTGCTGTGTGCAGGGTCACCAACCACCAGAGAAGGCTGCCCAGAACCACATCCAGCCTGGCCTTGAATGCCTCCAGTGATGGGGCAATGGGGCATCCACAACCTCCTTGGGCAATCTGTTTCAGCGTGTCACCTCCCTTTGTGTGAAAAACTAAACTTCCTCCTAATATCTAACCTAAACCTCTCCATCTCAGTTTAAGACCATTCCCCCTTGTCCTTTGTGTTTTGTTGCAATAAATGGTTGCTCAGTAGGGCACCCAAATGAAAGCCAGTTTTGTGAAGCATTTTCATTTCAAAATGAAATACCTTTTCACAAAACTGTCTTCAGTTATTAGCATACTAAAAATAGCATTAAAAGGGTTTATTGGATGTTTCTAGATCATGCTACTCTAGTTATAGAAATATCAACCCAGACATACACTTAGAATTGCACCTCAAAGGAAAGTAAGAAAAATTCTGATCCTGGGCTTCCATGCTAACTGCCTTGCTCTGCCAGGCTGCAGGCAAAGTGCCTTTTGCTCTTGTGTCTCTTAACAACAGAGATGAGCAACTAACTGGGTGAGAGAGGGAGGAGTTACAATCTTGTTTCTTAGCAAATCACAACAATGACTTTCTTTCCCCCTCAAAGTAGCTGCTACACAGAGAGATTAATGCAGTAGAAAGGTGATACAGTAGCGTAATGGCAAAAGTAACAAACAGGACAGGAATGCTCTCCTGTCTCCAAGGATCCAGGTTTGCAAGGGAAAACTCCACTAGCAAAGAATCTCCAACCAGAGATCCTTCCCCAGTGGCAGTCAGCCCTTCAATGAGGGCTAAGAGAGGTGCACAGCCAGACTCCACCTCTTCTGGTCACACAGCCAAATTGCCTTCACCTGTGCTCCCAGGGCTGACTGGTAGTTCTTTCCCCAGGTGCTCAATCAGTGGTTCAAGCCGTGACTCAATAGTTACCATATAATAGTTTATAACAATTTAAATAAAACAGCTTTTTTAAAAAAAGAAATTGCATTTGTGGCACAAAGACAGTCAACAGTACTGCGAATCTTTTGTATTAGGTTTTCTTGCACTAATGCATGTTCTGTCAGAAACATTTCCAAAAGTGTTAATTACCTCTGTTGCCTGGGAATAGCAAGGTAGATTTTTTGCTTCCAATATTGATCTTGCTCAAGGTTACTACACTGCAGCATTAGTAGTGAACTTTAGGAGGAGCTGGATGCGGTTCCATGGGTTTGGTGTTCCTTCCATGCAGAAATCAAGATGTGTGTGGGATGAAAATAAGTTTTCTCATTTGACTCACACCATTTTCTTTGCATAAAGTCTACTGTGTAGATTTTATGCTTGTATGCGTGCAAGGAAGGGTGAAGAATTTCTTATGCATTAAGGAGGTATAAAATCCTATAGCACAGGAAACATGAAGCAAGCCACAAAGGAAATAAGGTCACCATCATAGCTTATTGAAATAGAAGTTGAGCTAGTGCACAATTTCTACAACATTTCTGTGCAATAAAAAGCAGAGTTACAATTGTAATCAGACAATAGCCAGGAAGAAAAGTCATGAGTGTATTACACTGCAGAGTAAATAAGTGAGTGAACAAATCACAGGTGCTCACGCTGAACAGGAATTTTTAATAAGACGAGCTTAATGATCTATTGTGCTCATACTGAAATGATTCTTCATTTGAGATGAATGCTCTGTAGACAGAAATGCTTGAATTGGATTATCTTATCAAACTGAACCGTGAGTGAAAATCACATTTGAAGATTGACGAAAAGAAAACAAGCTGCATCTGAATCTCGGAATCTTGACTGCAAGCCTCCAGCAGCTGCATTTTCTGGCCTTACAAAAAAACATAAATACTTGATCTTCTCTTTTCATGGTATCCTTAGCTGTCATGTGCCCACACTGCTCAGTTGCAAGCTCTGCTCTCTTGTGTCTCCAGATACATGTTTACACACGAATGAACAACATGATGGATATGGTATTTCAGCACATAAAATTGCTTGAGAGCAATAATTTGCTTTTCTAAGAACCTCAGAGAGCTTGAAATAGATACAGTTTCACTGGAATGGGAAGGTCGGTAACCACTGCGTGCAATCAGCATGCAGGAATAAAACCTGAGCAGTATTGCCTGCTGCCCACATTGGTGAACCAGGAGCTGAGTATGCTGGCCTTGCTCCAGAAAAACACTTAAACAAGCTCTTTATCTGAAGCACAGCTGTAAGCACATTTGTTCTTTAGTTCTTAGATGGAAGGTATCATAACTTGTGCGCAACTAAGATTTAGGAATGTAGTTATATGCTGAAGTCATTTTATTTCAAAAGAGGACCTGGAACAGTCACCAAACTATCTAAGTACCAGGTGAACGCAAGTTGGTAAAAACCTCTAGGCCATCTACTCACTGGATTTTCACTTTAATCATCTTTCATAGGCTAGATATCTCTGAGCACACCCCAGAATATTCTTGCTGTTTCTGCCCATACTGTAGCCTTCACATAATCTCCTGATTTATGAAGAGATTTTTTGCACCTAAGAATGAGTCCCACCCGAAGTTCAGACCCCAGAGCTCTTGCAATCCCTTTGG